GCTGCGGAGACCGCGGCCGGGCGCCGGGGCGGAGCCCGAGGGCCCCGGTTCCGGTCGCAGAGCTCTGCGGGGCTGAGCTTTCCGTGGCGGCCTTGCAGGCCTGTGCACGGGCTGTTCTGGGGAGCGGGGGCTCCCGGTGGAGAGGAGAGCCGGGGGTCATCAGCAGGCTCTCCCCGCTCCCTCTGAGGCCCCCCTGAAAGGCGTCGGCGGCTGGTGCTGAACCCCGGAGGCTGCCCCGCTTATCGGCCTGCCCGGCGGCCTGCAGAGATGCTTCCTAGCTGTGCGTTTTGTGTCTTTATGCCGGACACCTCTAGGGCGGACACAGAAAGGGCGGACTCGGGTCAGCGGAGAGATGAAGCCGGGGGTGGGTGCGACTGCGGGACGGGGTGGGGATCGGGCACATTGGAAGGGAGTTTCACCGAGCAGGATGCAAACTTTGGGAGCTGTCCAGGGCCTAGCAGGTGGTGCTGGCCACGAAGGGCCCAGAGGCGTGGGGGCTGCGTGGGGAGGGACCATCCTGTACACTGGTTGCTTGAAAGGTGAGGGAAGGGAGGCGGCTTCTGGGCAAGCCTGGATTCCTCAAAGGAGTGAGGATGGGTGTGTCTTGGTACCCGGGCTTGGACTCGGGGCCAGGGCACCACCCCTTAGCTTTTTCACTCAGGGCTGGTGCTCTGTCATTTGAACCACAGCTCCACTTCTGGCATTTTGGTGGTTAATTGGAGGTAATAGTCTCACAGACTTCTATCCAGGCTGGCTTTGAATTGAGGTCTTCAGACCTCAGCCTCTTGGGTAGCTGGGATTACAGGCATGTAGCACCAGCTTCTGGCAAGGTCATCTCTCAAGAAAGGAGCACCAGGCTCAGGTTCTGGCTTCTGGCCTCCAAGGGTCTGAAGTCCCATCCCAGATCGGAGACTGAGCAGGCGTGCTGGGCAGTGTGGTCTCTGTCTCAGAGCCTGCCGGAGGAGTGGCCTCCTTTCCAATTAGACGTCCCAGGAAAAAGTGTCCCACGGAGCCCAGGCCTTGTGTCTGTGGGTGGGTTCAGCAGAGCCCAGGCCTTGTGTCTGTGGGTGGGCTCAGTGGAGCCCAGGCCTTGTGTCTGTGGGTGGGTTCAGCAGGTGCCAGGGTCCACCCACTCGTGTGCAGCTGGTCTGCTTCCCTGTCCTAGGCCCAGTTATGCTGCCAGTGAGGAGAGCCGAATCCTGGTCCTCACCGAGCTTCTGGAGAAGAAGGCCCACTCCCCCTTCTACCAGGAAGGCGTGAGCAATGCCCTGCTGAAGATGGCGGAGCTGGGGCTGATGCGGGCAGCAGACGTGCTCCTGAGGAATGGAGCCAACCTCAACTTCGAAGGTCAGTGGGAGGAGCCCGGGGCCGGCTTCTGCTTCTACTGTCCTCTTGGAGGCTGGGTGATAACTAGAGAAGGAATCCTCCCCCGGTGGCCTCCCACTGCCAAGGCTGCATGGCTGTTCGCCTGCGTGCCCGCGTGACACTGCCGCTTCTCTGTGTCCTGAGTTAACAGTTGCCGGGGTACCGGCCAGTCCCGCTCACATCAGCAGCAAAGGTGATTTTCTCCCACTTGGAGCCACCCGATGGGTTTGTTCATGCCACCGAGGGGGGATGGGTGGACCACCTAGGCAGCAGGCCTGTCAGCTTCTGGCTGTCCTCTCTGGCTTTCACCAGGGAGAGGCGAGGGAGGCGAGACAGACAGCACTGCTTGCAAGAAAATGGGGGTCCAGACTGACCCCATGTACAGCTGGTGTGTCTTGCCGGCCCCTCAGGACAGGCTCGGAGCTGCCAGGCTTCTCAGGGGTCCAGCAGCTGAAGAGGGCACATCCTGAAGCCCATCCCTTGACCGCCTGGCCGGGTCTCCAGAACCTGGCTGTTACCCCAGAGCCAGGAGGGTAGCCTTGCAGGCCAGACCAGCCTGGCTACAAAACGGGACCAAGCCAGAGCCCAGCAGCATGGCCAGTCCTGTCCAGCCTCTCTGCGTGCCCTCATGCAGAGGGTCCTGGAGCGGGATGGGCTGTTTTATTGCCCCCACGAAACAGAAGTGGCAACCAAGGCCCACATGCATTAAGTGGGGAGGGCTCTGCCTCCAGAGGTGTGTGTGTCGGGGGGTGGGAGGGGAGGGGGTCTAAAGCGAGCCGCCTGTCCCCTCAGACCCTGTGACCTACTACACTGCCCTGCACATCGCCGTCCTGAGGAACCAGCCCGACATGGTGGAGCTGCTGGTCCGCCACGGGGCCGACATCAACCGGAGGGACCGGGTAAGAGCCAGCAGCCTGCTTGGGGCGTGCTAGGGTCCTGAGCAGCCCTGCCAGCTCCACACTACACCAACCTGGCTGGTGCTGTCCTGCCTCAGATTCACGAGAGCAGCCCCTTGGACCTGGCCAGCGAGGAGCCCGAGCGCCTGCCCTGCCTGCGGCGCCTCCTGGAGCTGGGCGCAGACGTCAACGCGGCTGACAAGCATGGTGGGTGCTCTGGGAAGGCGGAGGGGCCGGGGCCGAGCTGGGGCATCTTGTAAGCAAACTCCTGGGAGGTCAGCTTGATGCCAGCACCCCTTGCCCCCTCCCCACCAATGGCCCAGATAAGAGTCTAGAGGCTTTGGGGGGCAGTGCACTCATGGTCCCGCGCTTCCCTCTAAGGCTGCCTGCAGGGGTGGCTAAGTGCACCCAGCCTCTGTGGGCTCCTGTTGACACCTAGCTTAGGTCTTGGGCATCTTGGGGTGCGGGGAAGTGGTGCCATGCTGGACTGCCCCACTTCTGTGGGAGTGGAGATGCACCCTCAGCCCTAGAAGTCCATTTCAAGGGTCCAGTCCCACTTCCACTTGGTGGTCGCTGGCCCCCCCACTCCTTTCCCTCCCTTCCTCCCTCAGGGAAGACTGCTCTGCTTCACGCTCTGGCCAGCAGCGACGGCGTGCAGGTCCACAACACAGACAACATCCGGCTCCTGCTGGAAGGAGGTGAGGCTCGGCACCTCGTCCTTTCGGCAGGGAGGGGGGCATGGGGGCCGCCCCCTCCAGCTTTGCCTGGCCGGGGCTGAAGGCCGCCCCCACCTTGTGCTAATGGTTCCTCCCAGGGGCAGACGTCAAGGCCACCACCAAAGACGGGGACACAGTGTTCACCTGTATCATCTTCCTGCTGGGCGAGACCGTGGGCGGGGACAAGGACGAGGTCCGCCTCATCAACCGCTTCTGCCTGCAAGTCACACAGCTGCTGCTGGCCCACGGGGCTGACCCCAGCGAGTGTCCAGCCCACGAGTCCCTCACGTACATCTGCCTCAAGAGCTTCCGGCTGCACCTCCCGCTGCTGCGCTTCCTGCTGGAGTCGGGAGCTGCCTACAACTGCTCGCTGCACGGCGCAGGCTGCTGGTCCGGCTTCCACCTGGTCTTCGAGCGGCTCTGTGCCCCCCTGGGCTGCGCGGAGGAGGAGAGCTGTGGGGAGCTCCTGCGCAAAGCGGAGACTGTGCTGGACCTCATGGTGACAAACTCCCCAAAGCTGCGGCTGCCGGCCAGCTTTGACATCCACCCGGTGGGCAGCCTGGCGGGGCAGGTGCAGGCCCTGCACGCCTCCCTGCGGCAGCTGGAGCGCCACCCGCCACCCCTCAAGCACCTGTGCCGGGTGTCCATCCGGCTGCACCTGCAGCCCTGGCCTGTGGACACCAAGGTCAAAGCGCTGCCCTTGCCCGACCGCCTCAAGTGGTATCTTCTGAGCGCACACAGTGGCGCGGGAGAGGACGACAGCTGACCTGTCTTGGGGTGGCCTGTGCAGCTGCAGCGGCTGCCAGCAGACTTAAGCCACGCCAGCCTCTTGGGGGCCTGGGATCTGGGCCACGTGGCTGCGTCTTCCAGGGCAACTGTTGCCCCTCCCCTACAGCAGCACCCCAGGTTTCAGGCCGCACCAGAGGGAGGCAGGTATTAGGTGCAGGACGGCGCCAGTTGGCTTGTCCTGTGGGGGAGGCACCACTGGGTGGCGCCTAGCCAAGGCCCCTGTCATCACAGTTCAGTCACAAAGTGCTTTTGGTGAGCTGGGGAAAGGCATTAAGGGCCAGGGGCAGGGCCTTCCCCATGCTCAAGGCCAGCCATAGGCTGGGCGCCTTGCCACACCCACCCCCTGGAGCACCAGGCTGTGGCAGGGTCTCTTGTGCAGGCCCAACCTGGGTCTGGGGGACCATGCCTTCTAAGAAGCAATCATGAGTGTACCAGGACAGGCCTGTCCCAGGCTGGGCTTTGGAGGGACTCCTCTGGAGCAAGCCAAGCCTGGAAGGGGCCGTGCCACCTGGGCACACCCCTGTCACTTGCAGGTGCCTTTGGGAATCAGCCAAGGTGACGCAATGATATTTATATCAGAAAATTAAAGTGGTTCTCTGGGCTGTCCGGGTCCTTGTGTAATAGTACTTTAGCTCCGCTGCTCTGCGCATTGGGAAAAGGAGCCACGGCGACCACCGAGAAGGGGCTGGGGGCGAGGGGGAAGTATTTCATAGGTGACTTCCTAGTCCCCCAACTTGCACCCCCAGGAAGTACCACACCAGATAGGTTCACCCCTTTTAATTGTTGACTAAAAACGCCTGCCAAAGAGGAGCCCCTGATTTATAGTGAAGAGGGGGGGCCAGACACCAGCCAGCCTGGCTCCTGCTCTCCCAGGAGTCCACAGCCAAGGAAGAGGGGGCCACTGTGCCTGAGGCGTGATGCGCATCTCCACGAGGGGAGCGCCTGGTGTCTGGGGCTCTGCCACCCGCTGCTGGCCCGGCCCCGCCCCTGTGCGGCAGGGCAGGTGCCTCCACACAACCCCACACGCCTCCCTCCCCGCTGCCTCCCTCTGGGCCTTTTTAAGAAAAGTCTTTTAAGTGTGTGGACAAGCACACAAGTGTATTTAGTGGCTTGGCTGTCTGAGCCCTGGCACGGAGCCTGGGCCTTGCCACTACCAGCCCCTACCCTAGCTCTGGTCCCTGGCAGTCCCTGCCAGCCTGGCTCATCTCAGGGCAAAGCTGTAGACGTGGTAGATCTCATCGGGAAGGTTCTCCTGCCTCTCCTCGGCCAGGAGCCGGAGGCCGGCGCTGCGGATGATCCTGCGGACCACCTGGAGGTCCCGGCACACGCTGCTGTCCACGTCGTCCAGGATGACGCCTTCCTGCGCCATGTTGTCCTTGATGACGATGATGCCATTGGGCCGCAGGCCGCGCTGGCAGCGCCGCAGGAACGCAGCCAGGTGCTCATCTGTCAGGTGGCCTGGGGTGCAGAGGGAGTTACGGGGTGACACTGAAGGCACCCCTCTTCCCTCCTTCTGTTTCCCTCCCAGCCTCCTGGGCACCACTATCCCTGGTCACGTGGAAGGTGGCCACAGCTCAGAAGTCGCCCACACACAACATGAGCCTGAGCGTGAGGAGCCAACTGCCAGGTGCGGCCTGGCCAGACCTCCACACTCCCCCGCCACCCCGTGCATGGGCTCCCTGCGGCCACAACTGGGCCAGGTGTGTGTGTGGCGCAGAACAGCGAAGCACAGGACAGCAGCTCCTCCCCCTGCTTTCACAACCTGCAGCTGGGGGCTGTCAGTAGTCGGCACCTGCCAAGCAACAGTGGGCCCTGCGTTCAAACCACAGTGCCTCCCCAGACCCTTGGTTGGCCTTGTGAAGCCCAGGAGGCTGAGGGGGCCAGGCCAGGGGTCACCTGGGCTGCGCTGAGATCGAGGCTTAGAAAACTCCCTTCTTTTGAATCAGTGTCACTGACTATTTAAAGTTTTAGAACAAAAAACCACCTCTGAGTGGCCAGCAGGTGTTCTGGTGAACTAAGCCCCGACTTTGGCCCCAGGGCCAGCAGCGGCCAGGGGTGGGGTGCGGGGGAGGGCCACGGGAGCCTCACCTATCACCCACTGGATCCAGATGACGTCGTAGGAGCCGGGCTCCGGGCTGAAGTCCTGCAGCCCACAGCAGAAGTAGTTCCTCACCCGCTTGCCCTCCTCCCCCAGGTAGGTCTTGGCTTTGGCCAGAAAGTCCTCGGTCACGTCCACCATGTCCACCACTCGGAAGAGCGGCAGGAGCAGCCGCTTGGTGATCCTTCCGATGCCCGCGCCGCAGTCCAGGGCACAAGAGGTCCCCGTCTTATTCGGGCCTTCCTAAACAGCGGAGGCGGCCATGGCACGGGGACCCCTCCCCGCGTGCCCACCCGCGTCAGGCCAGGCACCTGCCCGTGGGGGGGGGCCACGCCTTCCTACGGCGGAGGCAACTTCCACTCAAAGTGGCATGCATCACCCAGCTCCCAAGACCCAGGAAGATGGCAGCTCTGAGCTGAAGAACTCCACAGCATCAAGGTGGAGGGACAATGGTGGGAGGAGGGGGAGGGGGGCACCCCAGGAACCCCAGGCAGGCAGAGTGGGGCAGGTGGGAGAGGCCCCAGAGACACACCGGCTCAGTCCTGCCACCTGCCCAGCCCAGCGCTCTGCCAGCTCGTGGGAGCCCGCAGTGGTGTGGACGTGGCTCCCCCGCCCCTCGGGAGCCACCAGAGCCTCGGCCTCTCCTGGAGAGGACGTCAGGCCTGCCTACCCTCAAAAACCTCTGCAGGAACTTCCGGGAGCTGCTGAGGTCGATGTTGGAGATGTGGCCATACCCCCCAAGCATGCCGTCCACCGTGGGCGGGATCTGCTTCCAGTAGGTCTTGGCCTTCGAGTAGAACTGGGTCTCATCCTCGATCAGCTCGCTCGTCATGCTGGCACCGGCCGCGTCGCTGTCACAGCACTGGCAAGGGCGACTCCTAAGCCAAAGAGCGCCTGGGTCAGGACCCAGCAAGGTCACCAGGACAGGGCTGGCGTGGCCGGGCTCTGGGAGCCAGGAAACCACTCTCACACGCAGGAAGGAAAAGGAAGCTACCCTGGGCAGGGACCCCAAGCAAGGGCCCCAGCCTTCTGTCTGGGCATGGGGGTGGACCTGGGAGGACCGAGCAGACCCTAGGCCCTCCTCTACCTCAGCAGCACAGAAGCAGCTGAGGGCAGGGCTGGCCCTACCCACGTGCAGGGATGCAGCCAGGTGGAGCTGCGATCCAGAACCCCAACAGCAGGGAGCACCCCAAGGAGAAGGGCCAGGCAAGGGCACTGGCAGGATGCATGCGCGCTGCTGGCGGCCTGGCTGTCCAGCCCAGGGTGCTCAGGGCCTGAAGCAAGAGACAGGAAAACGGAAGCAGCTCAAACACAGAGGAAAAATGAGGACTCTGCGCACTCAGGACGGAGGAGTTCTTTTGGGGTCCTGGGGGGCGAAGGCAGGGCCTTTGCACGTGGAAAGCAGCGCTCCACTGTGGAGCTGCACACCAGCCCTGGAGGAAGCCTTTTTCAATGGCAGACGCGCAGCAGCTCAGAGAAGGGAGCCCAGGAGGCGTGCTCTAAAGGGTGCACACCAGAGGCCGCGTGGCGGCGGCCAGGGAAGAAGTGTTTCTTTGGGGGGGCCCTCAGCAGCTCTAACTGCCCAGCACCGCACCCGCCTCTGGCCACAGCATCAGCGCGGTGACTCTGAGCAGACAGACGGACACGCGTGGAGGCCAGGTGCCCTCCCTCGCGGGCAGCTCACCCACCAGGTAGGCTTGGCTAGTGCCGCCTCAGAACTTCTCCAGCTGCCTATCTGAAGTGGCCTGGGCCGCTGTGGCTGTCTTCAGCATGTCCTGACTCAGTTTCCCTCCTGTCTTGCAGCCTCCTTCCAAGTCAGCCCCCCAGAGCAGGTGCCGTGGTTCTTCAAAGCTCACTTCGGGGACCCAGCACCGAGCCCTGTGGCCAGCGTGGCGTCTGCGGGCCCCTGGTGGGTGGAGAGCCCCTGGAACTGCCATCCAGAAACAATTGCGGGGGACACGGTGGGGGCTCCTCAAAAAACCCCAGGACCAAGTGACGGGCTTCAGAAGACAGACCAGGGCTGTGGGCGTGCAGAGAAAGCCCCAACTATTCTGAAAGCTGAACTGCATCCTTCACCAGGGCTTGGCCCGCCCACAGGGGCTGCCTCCATCCTCGTCCCAGCCACTCCCCGGCACCCTGAAAAGGAAGTGAATACACCCCAGCTCTCTCCCAGCCTGTGATCTAGACAGGGGTCTGCTTGAACCCCGCTTTGGAATCTTGCTTCTGGCAGTACTGGGGTTCTTCTTCACAGGAGTGGTGGTCCTAGGGCTTGAACTCTCAAAGCCTACGTACTATCCAGTGCCCAGCTTTTGACTCAAGGCTGGCCAGCTACCGCCTGAGCCACAGCTCCACTACTGGCTCTTTTTTCTTTGTTGGTTAATTGGGCTTAATGAGTCTCATAGGCTTTCCCTGCCAGGCTGCCTTCAAACGGCGATTCTCAGATCTCAGCCTCCTGAGTAGCTAGGATGGCACGCGTGAGCCACCGGCGCCCAGCACACCATTTGAATTCTGGTATCAGTCCAGACACCGCCTCGGCACTCTTCAGGTACAGGAGTTTGGAGCCACAGTGAAATTCCATCCTGTGGGGAACCAGGAAGGCGACCTGGGTTCCACACATGGCGTCCCCCATTCCCCGTCTCACCCCGGCCGCAGGGCCTCAGCGTGGGGAAGAGCGAGCCACGCTGCTGCGCACAAACTCGTGGCCAGCTGTAAGCAGGTGCAGGCGCAAAAGCACGGAGGGTGCCTGTCCTCGAGGCTGCGCTGCAGGCCACAGCCCTGGAGAACCTTCCACGACTGCACCAAGAGGGGCCACCGGCCTGAGCTGTGTCCTGTGGGGGCCTGGCGGGTGGGCGCCAGGGCAGCATGCCCCGGCCGCGGACCTCCTTCAAACCACCCTCACCCCGCCAGCAGCTGCCCCTACAGGCAGAGACAGCATGATCACCCTAAGGCCTGTCCACCAGGCGGGGCCCACAGGCCTACCTCCCCACTGGACTGGGGCCCCTTGGAGAGATAGCGACACCCCGAGACTCATCTGCTAACCCATACAACGTACTCAGCAAGGTTTACTCCTGAGCAAATGGGCCAAACACTTATGGGGTATTCTCCCTGCTCACCTGTCTGCCCCCCCCCGAACCCCCAGGCTTCCTCCTACATCAGTAGCTGAGGAATGCCTGGATGAGCTTATGCCTGTAGACATTTGCCACCTTTAAGCCGGGCACTGGTGGCTCACACCTACAATCCTAGCTACTCAGGAGGCTGAGATCTGAGGATCGTGGTTCAAAGCCAGCCCAGGCAAGAGAGACCATGAGACTCCTATCTCCAATAAACCACCAGAAAACCGGAAGTGGCGCTGTGGCTCAAGTGGTAGAGCGCTCGCCTTGAGCTGAAGAGCTGAGGGACAGCGCCCAGGCCCAGAGTTCAAGCCCCACGACCAACAAAAAAAAGAAAGAAAGAAAGAAAATGCTAGGCCAGGTACAGGTGGTTCACGCCCATAATCCTAACTGCTCAGGAAGCGGAGATCTGAGGAGCAAGGTTTGTTATCAACCCAGGCAGAAAAATCTGTGAGATTCCTATCTCCAATTCATCAGCAAAATTCTGGGTATGGTGGTGGGATTCAAGTGGCAGAGCACCAGACTAGAACAAAAAAGCTAAGTAAGAGCAGAGCGCCAGAGCTAAAGCCTCACTAAGAGTACTACAATGTTGCCCATGAAGGACAAAGCCTTAACTATTCCAAACTGGCAACACTGTGACTGGAACCCACAAGGTGATTTTTTTTTTGCTTTACCCAACACCCTACAACTGGATTCCTTCCAAAGTCAAGGTCTGCAGAATAATGTGATTTACCAGAATCCCACCAGCAGGCAGAAGATTCCAGGAAGCAGCCGGGGAAGCACAGCTGGCGGGAAATGGCAAATCCCACGGCATCACTGGCATCACTGGGGGGGGTCCTGTCCACCCAAGGCCCTCTAGTGGGAACAGGCGTCAGAGGGAACAGCCAACTGGTCAGGAAGTCCTCCCTACACTGCGCTCCAAGCACAGTGAAAGCTTGTAAGACCCAGGGAGGAGTCAGCCAGGTGCAGACAGGGCAGCTGTACATGCATGCTAGAAAAGACCCCTGGTGCATCAAGCTGGACACCTGGACTGGCTCATCACCCCTCCCCACCCCCATGCAGCCATGCTCGGGCAGCCACATCCCCTCTCCCAGGACCCAGGGAAGAGAATGGCCGCAGCAACCCTCGCTACCACCCTGAAAGGAAGGGGAGGGGCAAAAGCCTTCCTGGAGTGACCACCCATGCAGTGTGCAGCCTGGGGCAGGGAGGGGAGGGGGGCTGGGCCTGTTCTTCAGTATGGGAGGATGGGGGCAGACCACAGGAGATCAGGAGAACACAGGGCTCCCCAACACTGAGAGGAGGGAACCCCCAAATGGTAACAACAATAATAATGTAAAACTTAAAGCGTGGTTCCCTCCTACTGGGACATGGAGATTGGGAGGGATCGCGGTTCTGTAGAGACCCTCATCTTAACTAACAAGCAGGTGTGGTGGTACATGCCTGTCATCCTAACCACATAACCACATGGAAGATCAATGTCCAGTCCAGCATAGGCAGAAACACAAGAATTCATTTTTTTAAAAAAAGGGCTAGGAGTGTGGTTCAAGGGGTAGAGTGTCTCCCTAGCAAATGTGAATTCAAATCCCAGTAGTGCGTTAAAAGTATAATAATAAGATGAAATCGTAAGCTGGGCACAAATGGCTCACATTTGTAATTCTAGTGATTCCAGAGGCTGAGATCTGAGGATCACATTTTGAAGGCAGCCTGGGCAGGAAAGTCCATGAGACTCTATTTCCAATTAACCACCAAAAAAGACTCAAGTGATAGAGTGCTAACCTCAAGCAAAAAGCTCAGGGATAGCACCCAGACCTGCCAGAACACCCCAGCTTCAATGTTCTTTGGTTTCTTCTTTCTACTTGGGGAAGTGGCACTAATTTAGGAGACCTCTAAGGCCCTGAGGATTAAATGTGCACATGAAAAGCTTGGAGGACCTCACAGAGCCACATACATTCATTCTCATTCTCATTCTCTCTCTCTCGGTCTCTCTCTCTCTCTCCACTCGTCCCCTCCCCACCCTTTCTTTTTCTGTCAATATTTGGTCTTGAACTTAGGGCATGGGAACTGTTCCTTAGCTTTTTCCCTCAAGGCTGGCACTCTACCACTTGAGCCACAGCTCCACTTCTGGCTTTATAAGAGTCTCATGGACTTTCCTTCCTGGGCTGGCTTTGAATGAACCATGATCTCAGCCTCCTGAGTAGCTAGGATTACGTGAGCCACCAAGGTTGGGCTGCCCGTGTTCGCTCGACCTTAAAGATCTTGTACGAAGAAGTCAGTGAATCCCACGGGACGGTGGGGGATTGTTACTGCTGGGTGGGTGGAGGGGGGGTGAGGTTCACAGACCAGACCCCTGCAGCGGCCTCGACCCCCACCCTCGGCCCGCAGCTCTGACTCGGCGGAGCCCAGGTGACACGCAGAAGACCTACCGCAAAGCCAGCCACGGGCCTGGAGGCCGCGCGGGCGCTGGCGCGCGCCGTTCGGCTGACCTAGGCCTCAAGGGCGCCCGACGACAGCTGTGCGGGCGGTCCCGGCGCGGGGGCCAGGCCCGCAGTAAATCCGATCTACCAAACGGCGCTCCGGTGAGCCGGGCTCGGCACCGGGCCTCCACGCATCCCGCCGTCCGCCCCGCCAGGGGCACTCGCCCCAGCCCCGATTCTGAGGGGAAACTGAGGCTCGGAGAGGGGCTTGCTGCCGCCTGCGGAGCGGCAGGCCTCCTCCCCTCCCCGATCCCCGCGGTCCCGGCCCAGGCCCGGGTCCCCGGCCCGCGGGGC